CTCCCCCTACCTTCTTTTGAAGGGTCGTTGTACTTTTGCTATCCACTCGTGGAAAGCTTCTCTCTTTCTTCTCTACTAGCTGTAATTCTCTTACACATATATAAAGTTAACATTCTCAAAAAAATTTTAGAAAAACTAGAAAGATTGAAAAATCAGAAAAACAAATTTGTAGCACTTTGGTTGTAACTAATTTTGAAACTTGAGTCAGAACTGTTGTGTGCATAGCTGGTAGAGCCACCATGCACAGAGCGAACAAGAGTCTAGAAGTCATAGGTTCAAATTCGTCCCATTTGAGTACATATATTAAATGTTTGCTATTATATCATCAAACCTTCACTTGGTAGATTAACCTAATCTTGTTGTTATGTCTTGTGTTCAAACCTCAGCAGAAAAATATGTGGTGTCCCCCTTATGTTTTGTTATAATATAATCATAGGGACACAACGTGTCCATAAAAGCAACACTTCATTGAGAGTTGTTGACACATACTAAAGGAACATAATGTAGCCCAACATGTAGGGAACTAGAGATGGAGTGTCAATGGAGTCTTGGCTGTTTCAGCACGTGTCTAACTGTCGAAACTTGACAAAACAAGAAAATTGAAGAGTCTATGTAACACGGCGTAATTGACATAGGAATCTTGAAGGTCGATTTTTGTTGTAACCATTGGGCCCTTTTCTCGTAGGTCCTTTCTCTCACTCAATGCAGACAAGGGTGGGTGTACACATCAGGCAGGGTCATAAACCCAAGGACTAGGGCTCATCTTATCTATTCATGTGGCCTATCATCATCATCATTAACGTCAAAACCTTTTCCCAACTAATTAGGGTCGGCTACATACATCTCGGTCCGTCATTCTGCTCTATTAAGGGCCATACCCCTAGTGAGGTCATAAATCCTCATATCTTTTCTCAATACTTCCAACCGTGTCTTTTTTAGCCTATCCCTTGCCCCTTTTTAGACTTCTACTTGATTTAACTCGTACCTCCTAACAGGTGTTGTACTGGTCTTGCGCCACACATGGCCAGCCCACCTAAGTCTACTTTATCTCATTTATCGCCTATTGGTGCCACACCTAAATTCTTCCGAATGTATTCATTTCGAATTCTATCATTTCTTATCTTGCCACTCATCCATCTCAACATCCTCATCTCAACTACACTCATTCTATGGGTATGTTGTTTTTTTACCACCCAACATTTCACTGTATAAAGTAAATTTGGTCTCACAGCTGTCCTATCGACCTTGCCCTTCAACTTCATTAGTATGCAGCGATCACATAAAACTCTGGTTGCACATTTCCACTTTGCCACCGAGCTCTAATTCTATGTGTGACATCTTCCTCAATCTCTCCATTTTTCTGGATTGTTGATCCAAGATATCGAAAGTGCCATCTTTTTGTTATTTCTTTGCCGTTAATCTTAACTACTTCCTTGTCTCTTCTCCTATTAATAGTATACTTGCATTCCATATGCTATCTTAGTCTAGCTAATTTTAAAATCTTTAGATTCTAGAGTATCCCTCCAAAGTTCTAACTTTGTGTTGATGTTGTTTTGGGTCTTATCGATCAGAACTTCATCTGCAAACAACATGCATCACGATACCTCATCTTATAGGTGCCTAGTTAAATCGTCTATAACTAAGGCAAAAAGGTAAGGACCTTAAACTTTCCTTAACCCGTCCCAAGCCCAAGTAAAAAGGATGGGTTGTGTTAGGTAGGCAGCCACTTAAAACTTTGTCAAAACTTCTTATGAATCCGGAATATACATTATCTGCTTATTGATGTGGCGTATATGATGATATAAGTCTTTGAAGCTTTGAGAGATAGGTAATGTTTATCAATATACTCGCAGTTCAAATTTTGGGTACATACAAAAAATGATTTCTCAGCCACTTTCTTCACTGCCGCTATTCCATATTGTCCAATAGATTGGTTGAGATGTCATCATTGACCTACAGCCACAAATGTGGGACACAGAAGCAGCCAATGAGGCTTGAGATCTGGACTCAAATCACCTTTTAACATTTTGTCCTGTCCTGTTTGATTGGTAATCCTTAGTCACTAATCTCTATTTTCTAGCTCACCTTGTAATTGCAAAGTTTTTCTCGGCCTTCTCATGCCATGGTGTCATGAGAGCGTTCTTAAATGGCACATTGTCTTGTAAATAGATTTCCATTTTTTAGTTTCTTTTTCTGGATCAGTATCAAGTTTTATCGTTGGCAATGTGTTATTCTCGTACCTAATGTGCTTTTAAGCAAGAGTTGTCACGTGTCATGATTTTCTTATGATTGTTTGATCGCGATCTAATGAAGCATCTATATGAGAAAATAACATTTACGTACTAGAGGCAGTCACAGTTCGGAAAACTGCAGAACTGTCAAACTTGCCATAATTTGGAAAGCATGGAGGGGGGTTTACTCTACAGAAAAAGAGTTAACAGCTACATTAGATTTAGGATAAGGGACCAGGGTGGAATTGTTTTCTAGAGGCTATATTGTCCTTGCTTTTGTTTTCAAGGTGTATGTGAGGTAAAGTATGGAAAGGTTAGAGGGCCAGGGTGGTTTGGCCTTCTGTATTTGAAGGAACTTGACAGACTCGGAGATAGAGGAGCTAGTTTTCTTATTGGAATGCATAGGAGGAGGTATTCATCCTTAATTGAGGTTCCCAGAAGCGGGTGGCAGTCTTCTGATATATGTTTCTTGGCTGGGAGGCTGAAGAGACTGTAGACATTCTCATTTACAATGTCCCCTTCCATGCATTGATCTTTGAATCGTTCCTTAAACCTTTTCTTGTTGTCATGTCTGAATTTGTTGAGGAGGGTCTCACGAGTCTTTGGTCACGTGTAGTTGCCCAAGTGAGATTGCCTTCCATAGAAGATGTGCCCCATTGCTGTCTGTTGTTGAGATATCTCAAAGGACAGAAACAAGATGAATTTTGAAGGTACCTATATGATTGCGAAGGACTTGGTGCATGCATCAGGACTTTCTGATCTTGTAGGCTTTGGTTAAGAGTTAAGGCTCTGTGAGTGGAAGGTGGTTGCCTGTACTCTTACTGTTAGATCTATAGGTTGGGCTAGTGGGCAAAGCACCATATATCTTCTTCCAGGGGAAGCATGACCCATTAAGGATGAGATCTTAAGTCTTCACTAGAGATGGCCTTGATTGGACCTCAGATTTTTTACTACTGTTCAAGTTACATTCTTATTTGACGGCAATGTGGCCCCTTTTATTCAACTACAATGTGCCCCTGAGCAGGGCTAATGCGAAAGGGCTTCAGTCTGGTATGATCAAGTCGACACTAATGATATGCAGTTAACGCCTCAGGGTGGTGTAGGGCTAATGCGAAAGTGCACCACTTGATTCTTTTTTCTTTTTTTGAATCTGTTAACTGTTGTATTGAGCACTTCGTTGTGCTAAGTTTTCAGAAACTTTAATGCTCTTAAATGGCTTTAAGTTACAGGAATGTGTAACGAATGAAATTTCCAACTCTGCATTGCCCTTGTTTGGCTTTTATTTTCCGAGTTCCAATTACCTGTGTCAGATGAAGATATTATTCTTAAAAGCATTATGAGCTCAGAACAACTATAAAATTATAGTATGAAGTATTGACATTCAACAATGTAGATTTGGTTGCCTAGGTGGACACCTAGATATCTGGCAGTCTAGACAAAAAGAAGAGGGATTTTTTTTCTCGGGGTGGCGGGGGGTTGGATAAACCCTCCGGTAACAGAAACTTAATAAATGAGAGATAAGACAAAGAAAAAATGTTGTCTCACAGTTTTTTGTGTGTTATTTTGTTGTACACTTATATTATTTCAAACTCATTATATTATTTCAAACTCATGCATGAATGAGTTCGAAACTTAAAATTGAATTCCTAAAACTATAAAAGATTGAAAGCTGCCCAAAAATTCATCCATTTTGCCACAAAAGAAAGTCATAAAAGCCACATGTCAATACGCCATAGTCAATCCATGCATTACCATCCACATCAACCATCATATATTGTAATAGAAATTCACTACCCCGAAACGTCATATCTCAAAGGACTTAAAACAACAACAATACTCAAAACAAAAACAAAAAAACACTGATGAACTCAAACATCACTAGCTACAAGATCTCTATTTCTATGACCACCACCAGATGCATATGAATCTGTTGATGATGCCTCCATCATCATAGTCATCCCCCTCCTCATATTGATCTTAGTCGATGGCATTCTGTGGGTTACCCAATGTTAATAAAATGTCAATAAACTCAATCTAGACCCCTCTCTTCAATAGGGGCCAATATTTCAAAGCCAAATTTGAAAATGAAAACACAAAAGCAAAAAATCAAAATTGAAAAAAGAAAAAAAAATCAAAACTCAATATTAACAAATATTACTAAACCCTAAACCAAGAAATGAAATGCACTATTGTTTCAAAACCCAATCAAACTTGGCTCAAATGATGACCCTTTGGTTGCCGAAAGACCTCTGTTGCGACCACTTCAAGTCTCAAAAACTATTGGAAATGAATTTCAAAAGATTTTCAATATTCAAACAATTGAAATTTTTTGAAAAGTTTGTCAAGAAACCAGAAAAAAATATCGATCTTGAAAAAAATTCTCAATTTTTGTTTAATCTCTTTAAAGACAAGCCTAAAGGGTTTTCGGGGGCTAAAATTCCCCCCTCTTTCCTTTTCCTTTCCTCCTTTATCTTTCTTTAAGTTGGAGAAATGACAAGTTTGCCCTTGACTGAAGGCTTTTTCCTGCCCTTGGCCAAGGGCATCGAGGCGTCGGCATAGGCAGCGCTGAGACACTTGGCTCACCAAGGTGGCCAAGCTGCTAAATTTTCATTCTGTGAAGTATGAAATAGGTAGTGTGTATTGAGAGTTGAGACATTGACAATTCATGATTAAATGAATCTGCAGAACTTCATATGATTTTTTTTTAATTAAATATGGCTTAGAGATGCCATTAACAATTCATGATTGAATTTCTTGGTTGTGTTGCAGGGATCATCAGGAAGACAAGAACTGTGATGGAGTGCTTGCATCGATTTTGCCGGGAATGTATCGACAAATCAATGCGCTTGGGGTATGATATCTTGACGCTAAATTGGTAGATATGTTCATTTTTGCATGGCAGGCATGATCCTAAATTGGCAATGTATGTTTATGTAAGGAATGGCATGGCGTGAAAGTAAAGATACATGTATTTTTGTTTAAGGAATGGCATTTCAGTTGTGAACGTACATGTGTGTGTGTGTGTGCGAGAGAGAGTGAGAGAGATGGTGTGGCAGGAAGGCCTGGAATATTGTGTCTGTGTCTCTTGATTAATGCCAATGCTTGTTGAAGTTGATTTTTGGGATGATGTTTCTTTGTAATTGCAATGGTGCCATATAAGAATTTGATATCTTCTATGGAATCTACTTTGATTAAAAGCTTTGCTTCAGAAATAACGAATGTCCTGCATGTCGTACACATTGTCCAAGTCGGCGTTCTTTGAGGGATGATCCAAATTATGATACCCTCATTGCAGCTATCTATCCAGATGTAGATAAGTATGAGGAGGAGGTAACTTTGTAAACTAATCATCCCTCCTCTCTCTTAGTGACTAAATTTATGAATGTTCTACAATTCACCTTTAAATGGCATGGATTGCTTGCTGATGCATAAAGCTTACCTACTTCTTCGACCACTATTTCAGGAACTGGCATTTCATGAAGAAGAAAAGAGCCGGAATAAGCAGGTTAGTGAGTATTGTACATACTTTATCTGCCTCAATTTATGGGCATATCCTATGGTTTCTATATTCATATCTTAATTTTTCATAATTTTTTTAACCCTGACTTTGATCGAACAGATTCAAGCAACCATAGCACAGACCTTCAGGCGCCAGTCCGAAGCGTATGTTAAGCGAAAGAGCAGCGCAAAAGCCACCGCTGCTGCTTTTGTGAGGAAAGCAAACTACCGAAATTCGAGACGGAAGAATAGAAGTGGGCCCGATTCGAGCAATGCAGGCTCTGATGATGCTGATGAGGAAACAAATGGGAATGAAGGGGCCAAAGATTCCTCTTCAGCCGATGAGCCCTCTCCTGAGGTCCGGCACAAGAGATGCAGGAGGTGGGCGGGCACCAGGACTTCACATGGCTCAACTAACATTGATGGTGGGTCTAATGAGAATGAAGATAATAATGTTGAAGCGAGTAGAGAGAGCTCTGGGGCTTCTCCTTGTATTGGAGGAAACCCGGAGAAGCTTTCTTGGGGCAAGGGTGGGGTCAGGAGCCATACAAGGTATGGGAGCGTGAGTGGATCATATGAGAAGAACCAAAGGAACAGGCGCATTGCAAGGATTATGGATTACTTTTTCAACAAATCAATGGAGGAGAATGAAGATGAGGTACGTAATGGATGGAGATGTACCATAATCTGATGATCTGGTACTCCAAATGGGTGTCCATTGTCAGTTATGGATGATGATCTGGAGATTAACTGTGCCTGGGTTGAATGTCTTGGTGGGCCCTGTTGTGGTTAATCTCCACTGTCTGTTGTCAGGAATGGACTATGGATGCCTCTTTGGTGTACCATATATTGTGCTCCATTGAATCTGGTCTAATATCCCTATAATGAACTGATGCATGTATGTTTTTTTATACCGAATATAGCAGTGTTAGGGCTATAGGACATATATGCAAGAATGAGAACGGATATGTACTACCTTGACAATTTATCCCTTTGTGCAAGAATGAGAACAGATATTTACTACCTTGATGATTTATCCCTTTGTTTTTAATATTGTTTTTCTTGTTATGTCACATATAGTGATAGATTTTCATTTTTTTTGTCATGTTTTCAGTAAGATTAACTCATCAGAAGATTTTTTGAAATTTGTGTTTTCTTCCAAAGTTCTCAGGGAAAGATCACTAAGTTTTTATGAAAAGGAAATTTCTGAAGTACCCACCCAAAAAAAAAAAAGACAATGAAAAAAAAGATATTTTCTTTTGAAATCTTCCATGTGTATGCAAAATTTTCAAAGAAGTGGCAAATATATTTTTACTAATTCTTTATTGTCGAAGAAAAAATACTGTATTAATTCTTCTCATTTTTATGTGGCAATTTTGTCATTATAAGTAATATGATATAAAGAGATATGTATATTGTTATGCTTGAGTAACATAATATATCATGACTACGGCATTGGCATGTCACGGTAATTCTGCTGTACAAAATGTATATTTGTGTATATTAGCTAGGGAAAGTATACCGTACTCCCATGCATTATGCCATATAATATGCAAAGGGTATCCACTCTGTCTCCAATAATAGTGGAGATTGAGTGTACCTGGGTGAATATGGTGTGTGCCCCCACTACCTCTAATCTCCTCTTTCCATCACATGGAACAGATGGTGAGTGCCCCTCTGCAGACTTTAGTGCTGCCTACCATTGGCATACTCCCTTAAATTTTGGTATATAATACTTTCCATGGTGCCATTTAGCAAAGCTTAATGTCCTGAATTTTAAGTAAGCCTCGAGTTGTAGCTTCATATATGGGTCTATATCTGGGCATTTGAAGATATTCCATGAAACCCAAAATCATACTGCATTAGCATGGTCTAACATGAGTGTGTAACATGGTAACATGCAGTTCGATATACATCTTACACTTGTACCTTGGGACGAAGAAAGTATCCCGAGTTTGCAGCGACCTTATATTTGCTGCCGGCCCACAGTGACTGTCAATTACTTATGTCAAGTAAAATGCAAAACTGAACCCTTCTAACTATTTGGAAGGCATACCATAGTCCTATGGTGTATGGTCTTCCATTCTTAATGGATGGTGGAGATAAAACTGTGGCGGAGCTCACTGGGATATTCACCGAGGCACAGTTACTCTCCACCATCCAATGCTGTGAACGGAAAGTGGATTGCCTTTTGGAATTCTGACTACCATACTCTCTTGGATTATGTTACACTCTTCCTTAAAACTTTTGCATCTTATGGATTATGGATCCCGTGTCCTTTTATTAAGATTTTTTGTTTGTTTCTCTGTAGTATATTGCTGTCGAGACATCTGTTAAAGCAGAGGACCTTGAACTCATGGTAAGGAAATCGAGAGATGGAATGCTGAGTGATTGCCTATCTCAACCAGACCCTTCAACGTCCGCCGATCAAAATCCTCGTCCCTCAGAAAATGAAAATCTGCAAATACTGCCAACACAGGAAACATTGGCAGCGCTGCATGCTTGTTACCCCTGCTCTCGTGGTGATCTGGTCTCTCTCTCTCTCTAGTCGTGGGAGCGAGGCACACGAGGGATAGG